TTTATTTTATTTTTTATTTTTCAGCTGTTGATGAAAGCCAGTTAGGGAAGAGGGGATACCTGACACCGATGACTGCCAAGGAATACATCCTGGCTCTGTGGAAGAATGAAGGTAATTAATGGTTGTTAAGAGCAATGTTGCTTTGTTTTTTGTATCGTTTAGTGGGCAAAGTCTGCAAATGTTGCCATATGAACTCCTCGTCAAATCTTTGCCATCATTAAAGGCTCCTGGCTGCAAGGTAGATGTTGTGACAGGAGGACTGGTAGCTAGTGAATGCAGAGAGCTGGATTCAATGAATAGTTTGATCAGCTATTCTCAAATTGTGGCTTCCCCTAATCACGATTGTTGTTTACAGAGAATTTGGTGTTCGTATGGTTCTGTGCTTAATATTCCCCACAGGTACATTGATTAAAGACTGAGAATGTATTTGGTGGTCTCTTCTTTTGAGTTCCCTGTGCCCTGAATCTGTCTGCAGCTGGCAGGAAAACCCAAAGCAGTTTCACGTATCAGTCACAGCTAGTACCTGGAAACTGTTTCTTCCTGCTGTTTTTTTTGTTTTTTTTTTTCTTTTGCTCTACACTGTATTTCTGCTTAGAGTTGTTTCTAAAAAAAACATTTATGTGACCAAAAAGAACAATGGCAATTCTTTCTAAAGTATGCCTAAATGTTTTTATTTTAAACAAGCTTGCTCATATTTAACTTAGCAGATGCTTTTGGCTTCATTGACCAAATGTATCTAGGGGTTTGGATTCCCAAACAATAGCACTGATAATGAGTTTATTTTTTCCATGTTATCTTTTTAGGTTTCTTTTTGCGTTATCTCTTCCCTGGGATGGATCCCCATGAGAGTTCAGGATTCAGTCCAGACATGTTTTTTTTAGATCTACTTGTGGTTCCGCCTTCAAGGTAAGATATCCCAAAAAAAACTTTTCTAGAAATCGTGGGGTTTAGCACATACTGTTTGCAGGAGTCAGAGATGCAAACACCTATAGTACAGACACTGGTCTGCTAAAGTGTCAGTGGAGTGTTAAGAAAATTTAAAAAATCGCAGCAGTAACTGATGATAAGTTTTATTATAATTTCAAATGAGTTTGTTAGAGGACTGAAATATTAATTATAAAAAATGTATTTTAATATTAGTATTTTAAATTATTACAGACTATTATAACTGTGTAATACTGGTAGAATTTCTTGCTAAGGAATCATTCCTCTTTTATGACTGTCCTAGTAAAATATGTGAATCTTCAAATGCTCATTGTTAGTTTATAGGGATTATTTTTCATGCAATGAAGACTTAGCTGAGAATGTTTAAGATGTATCATGCTACTGTTCAGTGGCTTTAATCTTCTAAATTAATTTTGATCTGCTGTAGATATCGTCCCATAAATCGTGTTGGAGACCGACTGTTTACAAATGGCCAGACAGTGAACTTGCAGGCTGTCATGAAAGATGCCAAAATGATACGGAAGCTCTTGGTTTTCATGGCAAAAGAACAATGTCAGCCAATAAAAATTACAGATGAAGAAATCCAAACAGTAAGATTTGCGGGTTATCTTAGTCTTTGCTTTTTGGATATGCGGATTGAGTTCAGGTAGGGTCCTGTTTAAACTGTTCCAATAGCAGCTTTTGCCTGGGCTGTTGGAGGTGTTCTCCATAGGGTTTTTTTGTTTGGTTTTTTTTTCCTCATGCCTCTTTCCACTAACCTGCCTGGTGCAAAGGGGAAAACATTTTACACAGATTCCTTCAGTCATGGTTTTTGTATTAGATTACTGTATGTGAGACATAACGGGCTCCTGTTACTGGAGAATGAAATATGGACAGCAGGAACAGTTCATAATAAAACTTCTCTAGCATCTCGTTGAATGAAAAATTATGGGGGGGGAAAAAGCCACTTTATCTTCTAAGCCTAGTAGAGCCAATTGTGATCCTGGTTGGTTTTGACCATTGATGTCTAAATAGAACCAGAAAACTTACAAATAACATTGATTAGTAACAACGCTTGTTTACTACTGATGAGTTCATGTGGTCGTAGAGTGGTAAATAATAATGTATGTCACTGTGCCTCTCTTCATATTTGTTCTTGAATTGTATTATAGAGGGTTCTTTGATACCGGACTTAGTTTTGGCTGAACTTGATTTACATCCTGAGTGTAAAACACTTTGAAAACATTTTTAGTTACTCAGAATTTAGCCACTAGGTGGAGATATGTTCTTAAAACGTTTGGGGTGACAGAAGGTTAATGCGTTTTGGATGTGACTGGTATACTGACTTTCAGACTGTGAAAACAAAGTGGTGTAGGTGATGAAAGCTCTTGGATTTACATTATTTTTATCTAAGAATAGGACTTTCTGGTAGCACAGTGATTCATAGCACAGACTGACTCACCAGTAATACCTAATTTGGAAAGAAGAATGTCATTTATCAGAAGATGATTGATTAGCAATCATCTTTTAAAATCCCACTGGTATATGTAGCTGTGCTGTTTGGAGATCTCCCATCCAAGTCAGGTTTATAAAGCTTGACAGCAGACCTGTCCAAGGCACTTGGTTGTAATAATTTGAAAGTTAAGTTTACATTGTTAATAGTGGTTTGGTTTTGTTTGGGTTTTTTTTTAATTTCTGTTTCTGTAGGAAACAGGAGACAATAATGAACCTCTGGACCATTCTGTCCTGACGATGATTCCAGGACAGACCATTGCAGATAAGCTGTACAACGCTTGGATTCGTCTTCAGAGCCATGTCAACATTGTATTTGATAGTGACATGGACAAACTAATGACAGAAAAATACCCTGGTATTCGTCAGGTGGGTAGCAGGCAGAATCTTAGAAACTTTGTGTGTCACAGACAGTTAAAAGAAGAGAAGTTGATGGAATAAGGAAAAGGTGAAATATTTGTGGTTAGTATGTTGGCCTTTTCATGATACTCATCACTATAATATCTGGAGAATCTATCTGGTGTTGCATGCTTTCACATTTTAATAATTTACTTCTGTTTTCAAAGCTATTGGAGAAAAAGGAAGGATTGTTCCGCAAGCACATGATGGGAAAGCGCGTGGATTTTGCTGCTCGATCAGTCATTTGTCCAGATATGTACATTGGTACCAATGAGATTGGCATTCCTATGGTAAGAATAAATAAAGGAGTGTTTCTTTTTGGTACAGCTGGGACTAAACTACACCGTAACACTTTCAGCTACATAGCAAACAGTTTAAAATGTAGAGATGTTCTGACTCATCTGGACTCTTTCGTCCCCAGTGCATCATAGCTGTATGTTACCATCATGTGTTAATAAAGAAGGAGCATTGAAGAGCAGGAAATTCTTCCTGTTACACTGAACACCACATCTAGGAAAGAGGATTAAAAAAAAGAAGCAGCTGTTCTTGCTTCCTGGTATTATGAATTGGTGCAAACTTTCTAAGTAGATCCGTTTCTGCTGTGGTCTTTGTACAGTGTATCTTGTAACAACTATGGCGGCCATTAAGAACAGGGCATAACAACATCACCAACTTCATTTGTCTGTAATGATTTTTAACCACTGAGATGACGCCAAGCCTGAATTGGAGCTTTTCATTATATCATCTTTTCTGCTTGCCTATCTGCGAGTGGTGGCCCTGGTGATAATGGGCTTTTTCTCCATATTTGTCTGTTTACAGAATCTAAAATTATGCTTTCTTTTTTTTTAGTTGCTAATTTAGTTTTCTTTTTCTACTGCAGTAGAAAATAGTAAAAAGGACATAATTTCTATTCTCATGGTAGAGGATTTTAAAACAGAAATACATTTATTTGGTAGGCTGAGGAGGAGATGCATCCAACAGCTTAAAGTAATTTATGTTTACATTGTATGAGTTAACATTTGACACTATTTTCTCAGTGACTTAGTACTGTTTTAAGCCAAAGTTGAACAACTTGATATTTCTCTCCTCTTTTCCCTCCTGTCTAGGTATTTGCTACCAAACTGACTTATCCTCAGCCAGTCACTCCCTGGAATGTCAAAGAGCTGAGGCAGGCTGTCATAAATGGCCCAAAGGTTCACCCTGGGGCCTCTATGGTCATTAACGAAGATGGATCTCGGACAGTACTGAGTGCGAGCAGCCTGACCCAGAGGGAAGCTATAGCTAAGCAGCTCCTCACTCCTTCTTCAGGCGCGCCCCAGTCAGGACTGAAGATTGTGAGTACGACAAAGGACTTGTCACAGCCCTCCTACACCTGTGGTGGTTTTTTTTTTAAATAATAATAATATTGGCCTTGCTAGTGATTCCAATGGGCCCGCTCACAAAGATTTGCAGGGCAGGGTTATCTTGTCTTTTAGTAGGTGGCTGAGAAAAAGTTGCGGGGTGGGAAGAAAAACTTGATGCTTATTCAAATTCTAAAAAGCATTTTTCCATCCTGAATTTTACTCTCGTCTTAATATTCAGTATGTGACATTCATCTTGCCAGGATGCAGAGTAGTCTTTCTTTGCAGCTGAGTATTCTTGGGAAGTCTTAGCAGTATGGAAGATAAAATACTGCTTTCATCTTATGCTTTTATGTCGCCTTGCCTCCCCATCCTTCTCAGCAAATTCTATTTTTTTTTTTTTCCTCTCCTCTAGAAATATTAAATAGGTTCTGTACTTGGAGCAGTTTTTTGGTAGTAGGCTGAAATTCAGTATACTTGTAGAGTAGGTACAATGCAGGCAGTTGATGTGACGTCTTCCAGGAGTGGAGTGGTTATGTATGAAGCAGAGTCCTCTGTTCTGTCAGCCATGCTGGTAGTGGCACTAACCAGGGGAGGAGTGGTCTGTGTTTTAGCTGACTGCTGTAACCTGGGATCCATCTTCCCATCACCATCTCATTTTACAGATGACAAAACAAGAAATAACCACACTGATATCCATCTGTTTGTAGAGACATCTACATTTGTGAAATGCTTAGTGCTTACACCAGTTGTTTCACTGGAGCTGCTGGAGGGTTTCAGTTTTCTGTGCTACGACTTAATCAGCCTTTGCAACTTCTTAATAACTGTATCTTCATCCCTTGCAAGAGTTGAGAACTTATTGTTTAGCTGCTAGGGCAAAAGTTTTGGTGATGAGTAGTCCTTTTGTAATGTCTGTTACGTGTACCCCTGTCTTGAATAGAGGTGCGGTATAGATTTAATGTTTAAGACTGAGTATTTCTGTGATGTCAGATCTCTCAGAACCTCTCACAGAGGTAAATGTAGCCACTTAGACTGTACAAACAGCTTATCGTACTCCCATTGATAATCACTTAAATGGATATATGGGTATTACTGACAGAGAAATTAAAAATAGACTGTTTTGAGAGAGACTGTTCTACATAAGAATATAGTGTGTTGTACTCAAACCTCACATTGTAACTTGGAGATCCTTGACCTCTGCTTCAGCTACTGGGTCATATTATTACTTTATTCTAGGATGTTGAGTGCTGAGTGTATCGTGACAGGTACTATCAATTCAGCCCAGTGGGCCTTGGATAAATAGTTTATTTTCTCATTTACAAATGGCATCATTTTCTTTCTTTTTCAGTCTCCTCTCCCTTGGCAATATAGGGATTAAAGAGATTGATAGAGTGTGGCTTGCATGCTGTTAACTTGGTTTCATCACTGTGGTTTGTGGGAGTTAATGGAGGATATGCAGCCCTAGAGTGCGGTTTGGTGGAGAGCAGAGGGTGTTCAGGGACAAACAGTCTTGATTCTCTTACAAAGAATCTCTTTTGCGCAGAACATTAATACTAGAAATAAAATGGTTTGGATGTGTGTGTATTTTAAGATGCAGCCTTTTCAGAGGCATGCATGGAAATGACTTATAGGCAGCAACCAAAATTCTCTTGCAGGTATGTCGACATATTAAAAATGGAGATGTCCTTTTACTGAACCGCCAGCCCACTCTTCATAGACCCTCCATCCAAGCTCACCGGGCCCGAATCCTGCCTGGAGAAAAAGTGCTGAGGCTTCACTATGCCAACTGCAAGGCTTACAATGCTGATTTCGATGGTGATGAAATGAACGCCCATTTTCCACAGAGTGAGCTGGGTAGAGCAGAGGCCTACACCTTAGCCTTTACTGATGAACAATATCTAGTTCCAAAGGTAAGTACAACTATCAGATAAATCTATTCCTCCACATTGTTTGATATTTTTTTGTTTTGTCTAATGATAGATTGATTTTATTTTTTTAATTATTTTTACTTATTTTTCATTTATTCCCCATTCCTTTTCTGTCTCCACTTATTGCCAGTCTTGCTCTTTCTCAACATATTCTTGTTGTGGCATTGTTACTTGCTTCTCAACTACTCAAACTCAGTTGTTCTCTTCTAGAGAAAGTGCAGCACATCCAAACAATCTTGTTCCTTTTAATGTCAATGTCCAGAAGAGATTTAGTAGAAAGTTGTGCTGTGATGACAAGTTCGTTACAAATGACTGTAGTGTTTTTATCCAGCTGGAATAATTTTGAGAGCTGCTAGCACACGATTTATTACCCCCTCCAACCCTTTCTTTTTTTTTTTTAAATCTCTTTAGGATGGGAAGCCGCTTCCTGGCTTGATCCAGGATCACATGATTTCTGGAGTTAGCATGACAATCCGGGGATGCTTTTTCACCAGAGAACAATATATGGAGCTTGTTTACCGAGGACTAACAGACAAAAAAGGAAGAATTAAAATCTTTCCTCCTGCCATTATGAAACCACAGCGATTATGGACAGGGAAGCAGGTAGTTTATAATTTACTGGGTTAAAGAATGCTGGTGGTGCCAAAGTAAGCATAATGCTAATGTTTAAACCAGTGCTGCTGTGGGTTGCTGAAAAGCCAGATCCCATCATTTAATCAACACAACGTAGATCTTGGTGTGTGTTATTGAGCTATGAGCATCATCTTTCATTTAAAATGACAGTATTAGAATAGTACTTCTTCTTGCTGCTCTGAACAGTGTTGCAGATAGAAGTAGAAGGGTGCAGTTTACAGGCATGGAACAGAGAAGGAATTTGTTGCTTGTAGTAAACTGAGTTATGCCAGTCAGTGCTTTTGAATCTCTGAACTTAAAGGTTGTACGTAAATATTCTGGTATTTGACTTTTTGGTTGAGGTCATCATTAGGTTGGTGTAATATCTGGGAGGCCCAAGTGAGTGCTTCACTTTCTATTGTTTAAGAGAGTTTAACGTTCAGTCCAAGTATTATGTCTCATAGCAGAGTAGGGGAAATTCTCTCCCTAGTTTTTCCTGTAAAGCCCAACATACAACTTTTTTCAAAAAAAATAATATATATGTGTATACATTTCATTATTGGAAAAAATCTTTGGTGCTATATGTTTCTGAATAATTATGTGTCTCAGCTTATTGATCTTTCAAAGGCTGGAGTAGCAAGAAGATATTCCTGTCTTGTAAACTTCAGATTTCCAAGCTGTTGAAGCTTTGGTGTCAGTGGAAAAAATACATACAGGATATTGCTTTTCTCCTCCATGCCAAACTCTTTATGTTGAGAAGTGAATATAGGAAATAAATAGTTCCTGCCACTCTTCCTGCTTCTTTATAGGTTGTTTCTACATTGTTAATAAACATCATTCCAGAAAAACACGTCCCACTGAATTTGACTGGGAAAGCTAAGATTGGTGGAAGAGCCTGGGTAAAGGGACCTGCAAACAAGCATCTAAATCTTGATTCAATGTGTGAATCTCAGGTATGCTGGGGCAGCAACTCTGGAGGCTGGGCTGGGATGTATGGTAATAAAATTGCATATAGAGTAGAGGAATGGGAAGGGAAGCAGGGGAATTCCATCTGGTTTTGTTAGACCATGTGTCTTCCTTGTTTGACTTTATAGATGGAAAATACAGATTGTGTTAGAAGTTCTATTTCTACTATAAATTCTGACCATATTCAGGTAATCTGACCATATTTAACCGTTCACCAATATGTGGGCTTTTAAAACTTTTTATTAAACCTATTTTCATGCAGATTACACAGAAAAACCTGTAGAGCTCATAAGATCGAAATTTCTGTTTTCCTGAATAACTGTGTTTTATTTTTCAGGTTATTATTAGAAATGGGGAATTACTGTGTGGAGTCTTGGACAAAGCTCACTTTGGCAGCTCTGCCTATGGCCTGGTCCACTGTTGCTATGAAATCTATGGAGGTGAAACTAGTGGGAAAGTGCTAACATGTCTAGGACGCCTCTTTACTGCTTATCTGCAGCTGTACAGGGGATTTACACTGGGTGAGTAACACAAGGACTACTTCGCTAGTGCTGTAGTGTAGCATCTCCTGAGGTATATAAGAGATGTTGCACATAATACATGTAAAAGTTCTGTAAATGAAGTTTTGCAAGACTGTCCTTGAGTGGGATAGCTGTTCACCAACCTTTTTCTTCTTTTTTTTTTTCCCTGGTTGGTTCATAGCTGGCCTTCTAACCAGAAAGAGAAAGTATAATCTTGAGTATGTCCATGAAGTCCCACCTAGTCAAAGCGTACACAGTCTAAATGTCTTGTGTTGAAGTTTTGTTTAGATCAAAACCTCTTGTGAGTCTATGTTGGTTTTGCTTCTCTGAAAAAGAACTGTTGCGTAGCAACCAGAACAACAGATAAAGCAAGATGGAGGAACTTTTCGGGGTTATTAGTCAAGTCTTGCATATCGTGTTCTACTGTAAATCTTTTGGTAAATGTTTGACTTTCATTATAGCTTTGCAAACTCACACAAAAATGCACTCAGCAGGAGATAAAAATTTGACCCTCACTGTACTCTCTCTTCTTGCAATACTTGAAGTATTTCAAATTACCATGTGGAGCTTCACATGATGGTTTTATACTAATGAAATACTTACAGTGTATAGCAGCAGGAGGGTTTAAATTGGCTTTTATCTGAAGGCACAATATGATCATTATGATCATTTAGATTTAGGTAGGCATGGTCAAGTGGTAGACAGCAGTAGTGAGGAACCAAGACTGTTGTGAGCCAAGAAAAAGGGAGAGAGATCTGTTGAAGTGAGGACGGTGATTAATTGACTGTAAAACACAGAAAATATGTCTTGAGAGCCAGGGTGCAAAAACTAGTTAGGCAAAGATAATGAGCCTGGGCTCACTAGGTAGTTAAAACAGAAAAAGAGAAGTGGGATTGGAGCAGGAGTCTGGGATTTGGTGAAGGTGAGGTAATGCAGGACTGAGCAAAATGAGACTCTGGGATGAGATGAATAAGGTTCAGGAGAAGGAGATAAAGTAGAAGAGACAAGGTTGTAATGGTAAAAGGAGAGCAGGGCTGGACAGAAAGAGTGAGGATAGAGGGACATGTGACAGGGCCATGTAAATGTGCGTGCAACTCACTAGTAAAGTGTCCCACTTGTCCCCCTACAACTGCTGTGCATGTGGCCTGGGAGGAACCTCTGGAGGTCACCTAACGCAGCTCCCAGCTCAAAGCAAGTCCTGCCAGATGAGCTTGCACAGGGCTGTGTCCAGTCAAGTTGCAAATATCTCCAGGGTGATTGTACAACCTCTTTGGGTCCCTGTGCCAGCATTTGATCGTCAAAATTATTTTCCTCTTGAAGAAAATTTTGTTTCCTTGTATCTCTAAAGGACAAACACATCTTTCAGCCCCTCCTCATGCATAGTGTGCTTCAGCCACTTTAGTGACCATTTTAGAGACTTTCGCAGAACTCCGTAGCTTACAGGAATTAGGGTTCCAACCTTTGGTTCGTTCTAAGCTGTTCTCCTGGTCCTGTCATCACAAGGGTCTGTATCTTTAGTTTGCCTTTGTAAAAAGCTAGGAAATAACAGATTCTGCAAAGTTCAGCTAATAGGAACATTGAAGTGGATGGAAGAGAAAAAACAGTTTGATGTGGCTGGCCTGTAACAGGTTTGTTGTGTGCAAGGGCGCTGATTAAGATTTTATAGACACTGTTGAAGTTAAGACTTCTTAAGTTAGAGAGTTGATTTTGCACCCTTAGTGCTTAGCTTAATTGATCTTGCATGTTTTGTTCACAGCCTGTGCCTTTTCCCTTAAAAAGCCAAACAGAATTACTTTTCTTGTCAAACTGCAGTTAGCTTGATTTTAACAATTATTGTATTTTTAGTTAGTCATAGAATCATTTAGGTTGGAAAAGACCTTTAAGATCATCAAGTTCAACCGTTAACCTAGCACTGCCAAATCTACCACTAAACTATGTCCCTAAGCGCCACATCTGCCCGTCTTTTAAATTAAATTAAATTGTGTATTTCTTTTCCAGCTCCTTGCTCTCAAAATCCCTGACACCAAATGTGGTACCTTTCTCAATTGTTTTTCCACTTTGGATCGTTATGTGGTCTGTCTCTCTTCTTTAACAGGGATTGAAGATATTTTGGTTAAACCTGAAGCAGACTACAAAAGACAAAAAATCATTGAAAACTCAAGCCAGCATGGTATTGAAGTAAGCCTGTCTTGCAGAATTTTTCTTTTCCCCCCATAATTAAAAATTTTTGAAATCCTACCCTTTTTAATCATGTCTGCTTAGCACCTAAAAAACCCCACATTTTACTTCCAGGCTGTTCGAGCTGCTCTTCATTTGCCAGAAACAGCATCATGTGAGGAGGTCCAAGGGAAATGGCAGGATGCCCATCTCTGCAAAGACCAGAGGGATTTTAACATGGTTGATCTGAAATTCAAGGAGGAAGTAAACAATTACAACAATGAAGTTAACAAGGTTGGCATCGAGGCATCTGCGTATACTAATCTTGTTTGGAGACTTTCTTATTAAGTTAATGTTGATGAGAGCTGCCTGACTGGAGGCAGTTCTGGAGGCTGAAGCTTTCTACCTGTCCCTAGGATGAGGTTTCACATACTGCCTTGCCACTGCACCTCAACCATCTCCTCCCTGAATGAGAAAATGGCTTAGTATTCAAGACACTTTTAAAATTATAAATAGGAATCTTTGTGATTTACTCATCATTTCACTTTCTTAAAGCCTTCAACAGGAATTGCTTTGGCTCATTATTTTATTAATAATAGTTTGGTTTTATTCCCTTCATCCCACCACAACTCTTTAGGTTTGCATGCCCCTCGGTCTCCACAGGAGCTTTCCAGAGAACAATTTGCAGTTGATGGTACAGTCAGGAGCCAAAGGATCCACTGTAAATACAATGCAGGTAACGACAGCTAGAATACTTAGCAGCTACATCTGTTGATGTGATTTGTCCTAGAATGTAAGCTATTGAGAAGTTGTGTGGCTGTCTACCAGCACCGTTCAACACCTTTGTCGGCGACATGGACAGTGGCATCGAGTGCACCCTCAGCAAGTTTGCCGACGACACCAAGCTGCGTGGTGTGGTCGACACGTTGGAGGGAAGGGATGCCATCCAGAGGGACCTTGACAGGCTGGAGAGGTGGGCCCGTGCAAACCGCATAAAGTTCAGCAAGGGCAGGTGCAAGGTCCTGCATGTGGTTCGGCGC